GCCGAGAGGGGCCCGTCGTCCCACCCAGACCTGCGCCTCCTCCTCCTCCATCCTCCTCCTCCTCCCTTTTTCCTCCTCCTCCTCCTCCTCTTCCTCATCCTCCCCCTCACGTCCTCCTACCTCCTCCCCTCCTCCTCCTCCTCCTCCTCCTCCTCCTCCTCCTCCTCCCCCCTCCTCCCCCCTCCGTCCCAAAGGGAAGGAGGGGGGAGGGCCTTCGGTGCTTCGCTCTCGGGGGCCCAGCGCTGCTCTGTCGGCGATGTATCGCCGATTCTGGCTCATTGTTCCCCGCCCCTGGAAGGGAGACGCGCGTAGGGCAGGCGACGTCGGCGGCGTGTCGCAGCTGCAAGCTGCAAGCTGCAAGCTGCAAGATGCACACAAGCTGCACACACGTCGCCGAGCCAGCCCCCTTTCCGTTCCCCCTCGCTGCTGTCGTCCTTGCCTCTCCTTCTCTTCGTGCGTGCGGGCGCGCGCCTGTCAGCCTGAAGCTGAAAGGAGGCTCAGCTATGCAAACCCTACCCTACCCCTACCACCCACGATTTCTGAGGGGGAGGGTTCGCATGTGGTCACCTACTCGCGGATCTCCCGCCCAGTCGGCCGATCCGGAGATGCAAGGGCGGCCTCTTTCCGCGTCGCTCCTTCCATGCCCCCGTCCGCCTCCCTCGAGATTGTCTCTGTTGTCCTCTGGCGCGTATCGGTCGTTGCTTGGGCCAGGCCCCACCCCCGCGTGGGTAGTGGTGGCGATGACACGTGGGGGGGGGTGGCCACACACGCATGTTGGTGCTCGCGCGCGTACGATTGTGGTCGCAGCGCACCCCCGCCTCGACGTGCCCCACCCCACCCCTGCGTTTCCATTACCCCCCGGTCGTTGAAAGTAGGTAGCCTGGGAGTCCCAGATTCCAATCTACTTCAATCGGCTTCCTACTTCAATAATCGATCTGCTTTTGCTGCGTTGTATTGTTCTCTGGGAGGGCCTGGGCCCAGTCTACTTTATCCATCTTCCTGCTTAATGTTTTTACCGAACCCTCTTCCGACCGACGGGTACCTGTCCTCCCCCTCTTGGGAACGACCGTGATTGGAGAGACACAATGAAAACAATCTCCTCTCTGCCCCCCGTCGCGGGCAGAGGGGGGGGCCGAGGAGGAGGCGGGGGAGAGAAGCTCCGGGGGCCACCGAGGGGCGCCCGGGGAGGGCAGCAGTGGGAACGCCCAGATGTCAGCAGCCCGCCTGGGGGACGGCGACGACGACGACGAAGCCGACGACGACCACGACGATAACGACGACCACCACGACGACGACGACGACGACGACGACGAAGCCGACGACGATCACGACGACAAGTACGACGACGACGACGACGACGACGACGACGACGACGACGACGACGACGACGACGACGACGACGACGACGACGTCGGGCGGCGGCGAGCGTCGAGGGCGGCGGCGGAGGGCGGCGGCGGAGGGCGGCGGCGCCGGAGAGGTCCGGGCCCTGGGCCTCGCCGGGGCGCTGCTGCTCGCCGTGGCGGCGGCGTGCGCGGCCGGGGCCCTCTCGTCGGGCGCCGCGCCCGCGGTGCGCCAGGAGGCGCGCTTTCGCGGGCTCGCCGTTGTGCTCTCGCCCCATCCTCCTCCTCTTCCTCCTCCTCCTCCTCCTCCTCCTCCTCCTCCTCCTCCTCGACAGGAGCGCGTCGTGGAGCAGAAGCGGGAGGGGAGGGTGTTGGGGCACTCCCAGACCCCCTGGAGTAATGACAAAATCATGACGGGAGGTTTTTCCTGGTTTTCGGCCTCTGGGGGCCCTCACCGGGCCTCGGGAGCGTCAAAAAACGACTCAGGATGCAAAGCCGGTCATGGGGAAAGGGTCGGGACCTCTGGGGGTCGACGTAGTGAACAAATCATTACGTCGGGGGTCTGGGCTCTCGGCGTGGCCCTGGAAGCGCCCGACGCGACGCACATGATATGAGATGTCTCGGAGCGCTCGTCGCCCCTGGGGGCGCGAGGCACACATAGTAGTGGTATGCTGGGGTGATGCGGATGGCAAACATCTGGACGGAAGCGGTTCGGTGTTTTGGGCCTTTGGGGGCCCTCGCCGGGCCTCGAGACCGCCAGTAACGAGTCAGGATCAAAAACCTGTCCTGGGGAGAGGGTCGGGACTTCAGGGACATCGCATTGAAGAAATCAGGACGTCGCATGTCTGGGGCCAGTCGGCCAGTACCACCTACGATTCGATATCCAGTGCGTCGCCCACCTAAGATCTGGGCGATGCAGGTGTTTCATAGCCTGATTTCGAGGCCTTGGACCCCCAAAGATGCGTATTCTCGATGCGGCTAGAAAAGTGTCGCAGACAGATGGGAGTCTACGCAGGGCTGCGGTCATGCGTTCCTGCGATGTTGCATTTTTCCCGCAGCGTCAGATCTTAGGGGACGCACGCCGATTCGCCGATGATGATGATAATGATGATGATGATGATGATGATGATGATGATGATGATGATGATGATGATGATGATGCTGATGATGATGATGATGATGATGCTGATGCTGATGTTGATGCTGATGCTGATGCTGATGCTGATGCTGATGCTGATGCTGATGCTGATGATGATGATGATGATGATGATGATGATGATGATGATGATGATGATGATGATGCTGCTGCTGCTGCTGCTGCTGATGATGATGGCGATGGCGATGGTGATTGTGATGGTGATGGTGATGGCGATCGTGATGATGCTGATGATGGTGGTGATGATGGTGGTGGTGGTATGATGGTCGGAGGTTGGGGGGGTGAGATCGAAGTGGAACGGAGAGCCCCCCTACCGGGAAATCGATTTCGGTTCCGTGTTCGTGCGTGCCGTGCGGGCGAGGCGAAGCTGCGTGGGCGGGCGAGAGGAAAGTCTCCTGTGGCTGAGGCGCGGCCGGAACAAATGATTCTCCGCCGGGCGGCCGGTGGCGCGCGGTGTCCCGCCGGTGTCTCGCCGGTGTCCCGTCGGTGTCCCGTCGGTGTCCCGATGATGATGTTGATGATGATTATGATGATGATTATGATGATGATGGTAATGATGATGATGAGATGATATTGATGATGGCGATGATGATGATGATGTTGATGATGATGATGATGATGACGTCGATAGTGATATCGACGTCATCATCATCTCCACTGGCATCGTCAGGAGAACAATCACCACTGTTGCCCATTGCTCGGCCCCTCCCCCCCCCAACCTCCTTATCACCCTTAGGGTGGTCGTATAGGTATGGTGGTGATATCCGTAAGGGCTTCCTCCTGCCGCCGGCCCCCTCTTTCGGAGAATGGGCCATGGAAGAGCTAAGTCATGAGGCCTTGGCGCTGTCGTGAAGCAGTATCGAAACTTCACGCGAAGCCGATTCGCAATCAGCAAAACCAACTGATCACAAGAGGGGTTACCACACCTGGCGATTGGTAAGACGTGTATGGTTTACGGGCTTGGTTACCACACCTTGCGATTAAAGGGCCGAGGGAGTTCTCGCAGTTTGGGTTACCACGCCTTGCGATGGATTTGCGTGAAGGGTGGCACCGAATTTCAGAAATGTGGCAAATCCCATGTGTTTTTGGACCCTGACCCCGCGGATCTGCGTGAGGGGTGGCGCCGAATTTCAGAAATGTGGCAAATCCCCTGTGTTTTTGGACCCTGACCCCGCGGATCTGCGTGAGGGGTGGCACCAAATTTCAGAAATGTGGCAAATCCCCTGTGTTTTTGGACCCTGACCCCGCGGATCTGCGTGAGGGGTGGCACCGAATTTCAGAAATGTGGCAAATCCCTGTGTTTTTGGACCCTGACCCCGCAGATCTGCGTGAGGGGTGGCACCGACTTTCAGAAATGTGGCAAACCCTTATGTTTTTTTACCCTGACCCCGCGGATCTGCGTGAGGGGTGGCACCGAATTTCAGAAATGTGGCAAATCCCGTGTGTTTTTGGACCCTGACCCCGCGGATCTGGGTGAGGGGTGGCACCGAATTTCAGAAATGTGGCAAATCCGCTGTGTTTTTGGACCCTGACCCGCGGATCTGCGTAAGGGGTGGCGCCGAATTTCAGAAATGTGGCAAATCTTTTGTGTTTTTGGACCCTGACCCCGCGGATCTGCGTGAGGGGTGACACCGAATTTCAGAAATGTGGCAAATTCCCTGTGTTTTTGGACCCTGACCCCGCGGATCTGCGTGAGGGATGTCGATTTCGAGCCCCCCCAGCAATTCAGACAACGCGCCCAGGGGGTGCTAAAAATCTGGTTTGGGCCTCCCCCCCCCTCGCGCGGTCAATCAACTAGTTACAGTAACCAGCAATAAGCAGAACTGTAACACTGGAAACTATAAGCTACAACTGGTACAGGAAACTGCGAATCCCGCTCCTACAGCCTGGTGGCCCCACAAGGGGGCCGGCGGATTGATGAGTATGATGATCTCGTTGCCGTTGATGATAATGACGATGATGGTAATGATGATGATGATGATGATGATGATGATGATGATGATGATGATGATGATGATGATGATGATGATGATGATGATGATGATGGTGATGGTGATGGTGATGATGATGATGAAGTGCCCGCGCAAAGATAATTGGCGAAGCCGACGATATCAACGATTTCGACGATGACAGTGGCGGCGATAATTTCGAAAAAGGTGATGCTGATGATGTTGATGATGATGGTGATGATGATAATGATTATGATGATGGTGATGGTGATGTTGACGATGACGGTGATGGCGATGGCAATCAGGATGTCGACGATCATGATCCGTTCGCGTGCTCATAGGGATGGTGACAAAGTGTTCGCCCGCAGTCATTCAGACATCATGGCAAGGTCCGAACACATCTGCGACGGAATAGTTAGACCATGCAATGGTGGTGGAGGGATTTCGACGTTTGCTCTCGGAGACGCGTGTGTGGCCCTGATTGTATTCTCGACAAAGTTGGTGGACTCCTGGTGACGGTTGGACCGTTTCGTCTCCCGCGCGCGAGTTGCCCGCATGGTCGCATTTGGCAGCACGGCCAACGCGAAGGCTCGGAGCTCGGGATCCAGGGTCGGCGCACCCGGGCACTTGCCAACAATCACACACACCGTGCTCCCACCCCCGCGGCACCATGCCTGGGGGGTCGCCTTTCGTCCCGGGTCCTCTTTCCTGAGGGCCCCGGGGCCCGGTAAAACACGGGCCCCGAGCGCCGAGAAGTCGAGGAGAGGCGCCGGGACCGAGAGGATCCCGTCGTCGGAGCTGAGGGCTCAAGGGGCGGGCCTCGCAAAGATCGGCGCTGCCAGGCTGAGAGATGGGCCGTCGCACGTGCCCACGGTCGCTTGGCATCGCTCGGACGTGTGCGCTTTGTTCTCGGCAGGGTCCATCGAGGAGACTATTCGGTCACCTCGCGAAGAAATACACGCACTGGGCTCGGGACCGGGATCCGTCCACGGCTCACCAGCGACACCGGGATGGACAGCAGTGGGCTCGGACCGCGCTGCACCGTCGCTGCATCCGAGTGATTCGCGGTGCTTTGTCCTATTTGGGGGCTTCCGATGGGCCTGGCACCACTCGGACGCGTGCCTGTTTTTCTCGGCGAGGAGCATCTTGGGTCACCTTGCGAGGAAGAGGAGGAGGAGGAGGAGGAGGAGGAGGAGGAGGGGGAGGAGGAGGAGGCGGAGGAGGAAGAGGAGGAGGAGGAGGAGGAGGAGGAGGAGGAGGAGGAAGAGGAGGAGGAGGAGGAGGAAGAGGAGGCACGCCCGCATCCGACGACGGCACGGGGGAACGGACGCCCGAGCGATGGCGAGGCCGGCGTGCTCCCGTCACGGTGCGGAGCTCTGCCCGCGGCGCCGGGCCCCGCCGCGGGACCGAACCCCAGGCGGCCTCGCCGGAGGGCCTGGTGCAGCTCTCGGGCCAGAAGGCCAGCGGTGGGGCGAGGGCCCTGGCCGAGGGAGGGCGAGGGAGAGGAGGAGAGAGAGTGCGAGAGAGAAAGGGAGAGGCAGAGAGCGAGTGTGAGCTGGAGGAGAGAGAGAGAGAGGTGGGATGGGCATGGATAGAGAGGAGAGAAAGAGAGAGATAGAGGAAGACAGAGGAAGAGCGAGAGAGAGAGAGTGAGAGAGGAAGCACACCACAACAATAGAGAGGGGGGGAGGGAGAGAGGGAGCGAGCGACACACGCAGAATTACATACATTCATACACTAATTTACGAACTTGTTGCGTATATGGAAAGAGAGAGAGAGATGTTGAGAAATCAATACAAAACAACCAGAGAGAAACAGAGAGAAACAGAGAGAGAGAGAGAGAGAAAGAAAGGGATATGCACGTGGGCCGCGGCTTGGGAATGTTGCCGGAACCGGCGGTCCTCTTCTCCACTGCTGGGTCGGCCTCGTCCACCTCCTCCTTCTCCTCCTCCTCCTCCTCCTCGTCCTCCTCCTCCTTCTCCTCCTTCTCCTTCTCCTCCTCCTCCTCCTCCTCCTCCTCCTCCTCCTGCTCCTCCTCCTCCTCCTCCCCCCCTCCTCTTTCCCCCGCACCTCCCTCTTCCTTCCTTCTCCACCTCCCTTCCTCCTCTTCCTCCTCTTCGCCCTGCTGCTCTCGCCCTCCTCCTCGCCGTCATTCCTCCATGGAGGTCGAGGATTTTTTTCAAGTACCCGACCCCCCCCGGGGCGCCTTCCTATTGTCAATTGTGCAGGGTAACGAAATTGTTTTTAATACACCCCCCCCGTCAGATTGTATCGGGCTGCGACGTCAGAAAGAAGTATGCGGCGTTTCAGTTTCCAGCGCAGTGCTCACCCACGCGCCGACAACGGTGGCTCGTGAAGCCAGCATCCTCGTCGTCAGCTTTTCACTTCGCTTTGCCGCCAACGGGCACCCCCGTTGCCCAGGCTGGATCCAGCCTGAGACCGTCTGGTTGAGGACGGTGCGTACAGTTTGACCGCTGAAGAAGGAGCCCTTTTCGTTTGGGAGGGGCTCAGTGTTCCTAACTTGTTTTTCAGCTTGTTTTAGTTCTCTGTTAGGTTTCCAATGGGAATTCGAGGTTAAACTTGTGGAAACAAAGGGGCCTTGTTCCTCATATAGTGTTCCTTCAATGACAGTGTTTCGATTGTGTGCCCTAGGGGGGGTTCAGGGTGATCGGGTGCTTTGGTGGTGATAGTGTCGAGAGTTGGGACGCAACGCAGAGCACGACGTATCAGGGCAGGAAACTGACATACCACGACTTACACATCACGGAGTTCGACAACATAATCGCGTCAAGCTGGTGCTGATTCAATCAACTGAGACACGAATTGACATGCAAATGAGACCCTCTAGCAAGTCGCCTACGCCTCTTCAGTGGTACCGTAACGCCCAGTGCCATGTACGGATGCGGCTCGTGGGCCCCAAGCAAAGCCATGCTTACATTGCTACAGCGTACGCAGCGGAAGATGATCCGAATCAGCGTGGGCACTGGAAGACGACGCACGCGAGGGAATCATCGGAACGATGACGAGAACGACCTCCAACTCAGCAGCGACCAACAAGAGGAGGGATGTATAACAGAGTGCGCAGAGCTTGACGGAGACTTCGCCGATAGCAACCCAGACAATGACGACAGCATTAACAACGACGATTTTGGCAACGACGGAAGCACCAAAAGCAACGACAGCGACGACGACGACGACGACGGTGGCAGTACCAGAAGCAACGACGGCGACACCAACAGCAACGACGGAGTTAGAGCCATGGGTGGACTTCATCCGACGAGGGACGCACACAGCCGATGCCCATGCCAGACGCGCGAATGTCGACGATTGGGCTTCGCATTACTTTAGAGCAAAGTGGAGATGGGCCCAAGCGGGTTGCCAATTTACCCGCCGACCGCTGGGCGCGACGCGCCGCCGCTTGGCAGCCTCCGCTGCACGACAGAAGACCCGCACAACGAAAACAAGGCGGACAGCGGCAGCGCTGGGACCATGAGATCGTCATTTTTTGGGCACCGTGGATATGATTGACCACAACAGGAGACTCCCCGATGATATCGGTTGCGAATGGTGGTTTGCACTGGCGCACGATAGCTACACTTGCGAGGGCTTAGAGGACAAGTTTGTACGATACGCCGTCGACCAGCATAGCACGGACGGCACGAACGGAGACACCTGGCCCGTCCGCCAGGACGTGACATCGAACCATAGCGCGCTGGACATGCACGCCAATTCCAAGCTTTTGACCTCCACCTTCCGACCCCCCAACTCTCACGTCCACGCCCCGACTTCCAGCATGCGACATCCGATTTTTCACTTCCACCTCCACCTATCGACCTCCAGCTTCTTCCAGCTCGCCACTCCTACCTCCAGCTTCCAGCAGTCCGACTTCCACTTCCACCTCCACCCGTCGATTTCCAGCGCCCAGCAGCGCAGCATTCCGACCTCCACCCTCCAGCAGCATGTGACTTTCCACCTCCACCTCCACCCATCGACCTCCAGGGCCCAGCAGCTCAGCACTCCGACCTCTGCCCTCCAGCATCCGACTTTCCACCTCCACCTCCACCTGCCGACCACCCAGCAGTCCGACACCAGCATCCGGCTTCCGACTCTCCACTTCCACTTGCGCCACTTCGCTTCCAGCGCCCACCACCTCATGACTCAGCACCCCGACCTCGGCAAACAAAGAGTACAATCACTGACGGCCCCGGCCCCCCCGCGCGGACCCTAAATGGCCCCGCTCCCGGCGGAGCCGCGCGCTCGCCTCGCCTTGCCTCGGGTGCTTTGGTGGGCAGGCATTGCGAACATTTGGGCAGATGGCTATTACACAGCACAGCCCAGCCCCCCTGCCACTCCTGCTCACCCTTTTCGCCTTCCTCCTCTCCCTTTCCTTCTGCAGATCGTCCCCCCCCCCACAAGAAAAAACGAATCCTTCCACCCTTTTCGCTTCTCCCCTCCTCGCTTCTCCTCACCCGTCCTCGGTGCCTCCCATCTTCTCGTTCCTCCCCAGTGTCATCCAACCTATCCGTTCCCTCCTCCGCATCCTGTGCCTCTGTATCCCCTCCCCAGCCCACTTCTCTCCATCACTCTCTCCCAGGTCCCAGGGCTAGGACATAATCTCCGGGAGGCCGAGATTGAAGGAAGCATGCGCCGGGATTGAACAGATCACGACGTCGGAGGTGTGGGCCTTCCCGCAGCCTTGAGATCTTATGTTGCGGAATCGTGGTTATATGGTGAAACATCAAGACTGGATGTCCAGACTCGCCGACATTTCTGCGGCCTTTCTCGAGCCGGATCGCTCTGCGAGGGTTCTGGGTGCCGGAACTGCGGGAAAACGCCCAGCGTGTTAAAGCTGCAACGCCCAGGTCTCAGGATAGGAGGAGGACGAGGAGGAGGAGGAGGAGGAGGAGGAGGAGGAGGAGGAGGAGGAGGAGGAGAGGGACGAGGACGACGAGACGAGGAGGAAAAGGAGGGTGAGGATGAGATGGAGGAAAGGGAGGAGGAGGAGGAGGAGGAGGAGGAGGAGGAGGAGGAGGAGGAGGAGAAGGAGGTGAGGAGGAGGTGGAGGAGGGGGGGGGGATGAAGGGGGGGAGGCGCAGGAGGAGGAGGAGGAGGGAGGAGGAGGGGAGGAGGAGAAGGATGAGGAGGAGGAGGAGGAGGAGGAGGAGAAGGACGAGATGGGGGAGGAGGAAGAGGAGGAGGACGAAGAGGAGGAGGAGGAGGAGGAGGAGGAGGAGGAGGAGGAGGAGGAGGAGGAGGAGGAGGAGGAGGAGGAGAGGGAGGAGGTGTCTCACTCTGGGCAGCGTGCCCTCGAGAGGCGCCGAAGGGCAAGCAGCAGCGCGCCAGCAAGGGCAAGCTGTCCGCGGACGAGTGTGCGGAGCTCCGGCGCCTGGCGAGGTCGGCCAAGGGCGGCGAGAGCGAGGCGCTCGAGCACCTCAAGAGGCGGCCGCGGGGGGGAGGGGCGCCACGGCAGACGTTCGGGGGCAGCGTCAGGGGGGATGGCTAGGTAGGCTCAGGGAGGATATGCTCAGGTTGGAGGTTTGAGGTTTTCTGGCGTTTCCGTCGGTTGGCCCGGAAGCCAGGGCGCGGAAGGTCAATCATTGAGTCGAATCAACCCCCTATATAGGCCTAATATCGCCATGAATTCGTGGCCCAATTTGGGTGCACGGTTTCAGTGCTATCCCTAGACATGTGTTTGGCTTCGGCTCATACATCTGCAAAAACAGACCTCCCATCCCTAATGTTTTTGGTCCTTCTAACTGAACTCCCCTCCCAAATGGTCATGGGTACAGCCGGACCGAGGTACAAGATCGAGGTCGGTTCGGGGAGGGTGCCTTGGTGTTCTTCGTGCTTGTTGGAGGTTTTTGTGCATCCTGGGGGAGGGCATTCTCGAATGGCTGTCGCGTTGTGTCGGTGGAGTGTCTCATGTTCTTCGAGGATGTCCTTCTGTCTCAGGTCCGGCCGTACTTCTATAATTGCTCAGCAGCCAGGGGCGCGTAGCAACGTCACAGGGGCGCGGGGGGCTGGCCCTCGCGGGCCGGCTCGGGGGAGCCGCTGTGCGCCCGGCCCTCGCGTGGGGGCCTGCCGGAGCGCGGCGTAGGGAGGGCGGGCTTGGCGTGGCTGCACCAACGTCGGATAATTATTTCTCCTCCTCCTCCTCCTCCTCCTCCTCCTCCTCCTCCTCCTCCTCCTCCTCCTCGCCGCGCAGCTGCCATCATGGCTCAGGATCTGTCAGCGCAACAAGACAATCCATACAGCCATTCCACAGTTCGTGGTGGCAGAATAGTGAAGGCGACGGCCCGCATGGGCAAAGCAAAAGAGTGGACAGCCTTTCTCGCTGCTAATGTTTTTTTGCATCCTTGCAATCCGATCACCATGCACAGTGTGGCCACTGAGGCACCATTCAATGAAGTGGACTTCGAGCTACCAGAAGCGCGCAAGATGCAGACTACCCCACATTCGTGGCGCACGAAGCGGAGAAGGAATTCTTTACGCTTCGCGTATCCCCACCAGCCCATCTCACAACAGCAACTCTTGCGAAGCATGCCGACAGTTGTGTTTTTCAGGCGTGTGTCCGCTTGCCCCCGCATATCTCCCCTGTTACTCCTTCCTCCCGCCTCCTTGTACATACTCCTTGTGGGGGGAGCGGGAGGAGGACGAGGCGGAGGAGGAGGGAGAGAAAGCGCTCCTCGTGGTTTGAGTCGTTTGGGGTTTCTCGTCCTGGTGTGAGTCGTTCGGGCCCTTCTTCCTGGTGTGAGTCGTTCGGGCTCTTCGTGGTGTGAGTCGTTCGGGCTCTTCGTCCTGGTGTGAGTCGTTCGGGCTTCTCGTGGTGTGAGTTGTTCGGGCCCCTCGTCCTGGTGTGAGTCGTTCGGGCCCCTCCTCCTGGTGTGACTCGTTCGGGCTCCTCGTGGTGTGAGTCGTTCGGGGCCCTCGTCGTGGTGTGAGTCGTTCGGGCTCCTCGTGGTGTGAGTCGTTCGGGCGCCTCGTCCTGGTGTGAGTCGTTCGGGCCCCTCCTTGTGGTGTGAGTCGTTCGGGCTCTTCGTGGTGTGAGTCGTTCGGGCCCCTCGTCCTGGTGTGAGTCGTTCGGGCTCCTCGTGGGGCCTCTTGGGGGCCTCTTGGAGCCTCTTGGGGCCTCTTGGGGGCCTCTTGGGGGCCTGTTGGGGGCCTCTTGGGAGCCTCTGGGGACCTCTTGGGGCCTCTTGGCTCCTGGGGGCCTCTTGGGGCCATCTTGGGGCTTCTGGCGACCTCCTCAGAAGCGCAAATGAGCGCTGCCCCCTGAGAAGGACAAACTGAGCCCAAAACCTTTGTAAAATCAATGATTTTGCTATGAAGGAAGAGGAGCGCGGCCCCCTCAGAAGGCCAAAATGGGGCCAACACCGAAGTAAAATCAATGATTCTGGCTTCAAAGAAGAGGAGAGGGGGGCCTCTTGGGGCCTATTGGGGGCCTCTTGAGGAGCGCTGCTCCTCCTCCTGGTGTGACTCGTTCGGGCTCCTCGTGGTGTGAGTCGTTCGAGGCCCGCGTCGTGGTGTGAGTCGTTCGGGCTCCTCGTGGTGTGAGTCGTTCGGGCGCCTTTTCCTGGTGTGAGTCGTTCGGGCCCCTCCTTGTGGTGTGAGTCGTTCGGGCTCTTCGTGGTATGAGTCCTTGGGGCCCCTCGTCCTGGTGTGAGTCGTTCGGGCTCCTCGTGGGGCCTCTTGGGGGCCTCTTGGAGCCTCTTGGGGCCTCTTGGGGGCCTCTTGGGGGCCTCTGGGGGGCCTCTTGGGGGTCCCTTGGGGCCTCTTGGGGCCTCTGGGGAGCCTCTTGAGAGCCTCTTGGGGGCCTCTTGGGGCCTCCTGGGGGCCTCTTGGGGGCCTCTGGGAGGCCTCTTGGGAGCCTCCTGGGGGCCTCTTGGGGTCATCTTGGGGCCTCTGGCGACCCCCTCAGAAGCGCAAATGAGCGCTGCCCCCTGAGAAGGACAACATGAGCCCAAAACCTTCGTAAAAACAATGATTTTGCTATGAAGGAAGAGTAGTAGTAGTAGTAGTAGTAGTAGTAGTAGTAGTAGTAGTAGTAGTAGTAGTAGTAGTAGTAGTAGTAGTAGTAGTAGTAGTAGTAGTAGTAGTAGTAGTAGTAGTCGTAGTCGTAGTCGTGGTGGTGGTGGTGGTGGTGGTGGTGGTTGGTGGTGGTGGTATAGTAGTAGAGTAGTGTAGTAGTAGTCGTAGTAGTCGTATAGTAGTAGTTAGTTTAGTAGTAGTAGTAGTAGCAGCAGCAGCAGCAGTAGTAGTAGTAGTTATTGTATCAGTAGTGTAGTAGTATTAGTAGTAGTAGTAGTAGTAGCAGTAGTAGTAGTAGTAGTAGTAGTAGTAGTAGTAGTAGTATTAGTAGTAGTAGTAGTAGTAGTCGTAGTAGTAGTAGTAGTAGTAGTAGTAGTAGAAGAAGTAGAAGTAGAAGTAGAAGTATAAGTAGAAGTAGAAGTAGAAGAAGTAGTAGTAGTAGTAGTAGTAGTAGTCGTAGTCGTAGTCGTAGTCGTAGTCGTAGTAGTCGTCGTCGTCGTCGTCGTCGTCGTCGTCGTCGTCGTCGTCGTCGTCGTCGCCGTCGTAGTAGTAGTAGTAGTAGTAGTAGTAGTAGTAGTAGTAGTAGTAGTAGTACTGGTAGTAGTAGTGGCCGTACCACCATGCGTAGAAGTAGTAATAGTAGAGGTAGAAGTAGTAGTAGTGGGAGTCGTTCGGGGCCCGCGTCGTGGTGTGAGTCGTTCGGGCTCCTCGTGGTGTGGGTCGTTCGGGCGCCTCGTCCTGGTGTGAGTCGTTCGGGCCCCTCCTTGTGGTGTGAGTCGTTCGGGCTCTTCGTAGTGTGAGTCGTTCGGGCCCCTCGTCCTGGTGTGAGTCGTTCGGGCTCCTCGTGGGGCCTCTTGGGGGCCTCTTGGAGCCTCTTGGGGCCTCTGGGGGGCCTCTGGGGGGCCTCTTGGGGGCCTCTTGGGGGCCTCTTGGGGGCCTCTTGGGGCCGTTTGGGGGCCTCTGGGGGTCCCTTGGAGGCCTCTTGGGAGCCTCCTGGGGGCCTCTTGGGGACATCTTGGGGCCTCTTGCGACCCCCTCAGAAGCGCAAAGAAGAGCTGCCCCCTGAGAAGGACAAAATGAGGCCAAAACCTTAGTAAAATCAATGTTTTTGAAAAGACGGAAGGGGAGTGCTGCCCCCTCAGAAGGCCAAAATGGGGCCGAAACCGTAGTAAAATCAATGATTTTGGCTTCACAGAAGAGGAGAGGGATTTAAGTGCGCCCCCCCGTCGGGGCCAGAATCCTCTGCAGACTACCCCACATTCGTGGCGCACGAAGCGGAGAAGGAATATGACGACCAGTGCGTCAACGACATGTTCGCGGCGCCCGAGAAGCAGCTCAACGTCACAGGCCAGGATGCGGCGCTGGGAACCAAGGACGGAGAGGATCCAGAAAAACAGCAACACTACGCGGACCAGGACAGGACGATGGGCACGAAGGACACTGCGGCGCACGAGGAACTGAAAAAGTCAGCAGACCGGAGAACGACGCTAGACCACGACGACCTCACGGAACCACAGCTCGACGACGACCAGGAATTTGCGCTGAGCACGAAGGACGCCGCAAAGAACGAGGACCAGCAGAGCTTCGCAGACCAGGAGGAGACGCCGAGCACCAATGACGCCAGAATGCACGAGGAGCAGCAGCGCTTCAGAGAGAAGGGCGCGGCGCTGGGCAGCAAGGACGATGAGGCGCACAAGCCACAGCAAAGCTACGCGTACCAGGACGAGACGCTGTGCTCAGAGCACACCGCGAAGCCCGAGGAGCAGCTATGCCTCGGAGATCTGTGGACGACGCTGGGCAGTCAGCGCGCACCGCCTGGCGAGAGGAACTCCGAGGCGCGCGAGAACCACCACGACACCGATCGGGAAGCGATGCTGGACACCAGGCGCACCGCGACCCTGGAGGAGCAGCAGGGCGTCGCAGACCGGGAGAAGGCGCTGAGAACCAATGACCCCGCGGCGCACGGGGGAAGCAGCGGAGCTACGACACTGGGCACGCAGGGGCACGAAGATACGGCCCGTGCGGCGCGCGAGCTGCTGCCCGCTTTTCTGCACCTCGTGTACGACGTCGTGGGGAGGCGTCTCGATGAGGGCCACGTCGTTCCGGCCTCGTGGATGCACACCAAGTTTCGCGAGTGGATTGAGGAGGCCATCGCCGAGTGGTTCCGCTACGGCGTCTTCGAGCGGGTCGACAGAGGGGGCGTAGCCCGGATAGTCGGTGCGCGCTGCATCCTGCGCGAACGCGCAGCCAGCGCCGAAGAAGGAGCAGCGCAGCACCGAGAGCGACGAGGATGATGCCGACACGTGGTGGGAGGCAGCTGGCTGGCAGGCATCTGCGAGGAGCGGGCGCCACCCTGCCAGCATTCCCCCCCCCCCTCTGAGCCCCTGCGCGGGGATAGCAGGCGCACGAGGGGCCACAGCGCGGCGCAGCGCGAGCGGCCTCCCACGAGGTGAATACAGCAAGGCCGAGCTAGCATGCATCAGGGCTGTCCAGCACTAGCAACAGACCAGGAACTGGGCCCGAATGATCGATCGGTCGATCCTTGCTGCTCCCCCTCCTCCTGCTCCTCCTCCTCCTCCTCCTCCTCCTCCTCTTCGCTCCTCTTCCTCCTCCTCCTCCTCCTGTCCTTCTTCCTCCTCATCCTCCTCCTTCTCCTACTCCTCCTTCTCCTCGCCCCTCCTGCTCACTCCTCTTCCTCCTCGCTCCTCCTCCTCCTCCTCTTCCTCCTCCTCTTCTTCACTCCTCACTCCTCGCTCTTCCTCACTCCTCATCCTCCTCCTCCTCGCTTCTCCTGTCTCCTCCTACTACTCTTCCTCCTCGCGTGCTCCTCCTCATCCGCGGCCCCCCTTGAGATCCCGGCGATGTTTTTTTTCAATAGCGGTCGTTTTCGCCGGGCTTCAGGCCCCTGAGCCGTCGCAGATCGATCAGGCCCGATGCGTGCTGGGCCCCCAGGGCTCTGGCCGTGATGTGCTGCGTTTGTGCACTTGTTTTTTCCGCGACGTCGAATCCCACGACAGGGCCGGCTTGCTCCCCGGGCCAGGGAGCATCCCGTGGCTAATACCAGGGCCGCTGCGGTGCGAAAGTTTGGCCGCTGCGGCGCGAAAGTTTGGATCTTCTGTCCGGCGAAGACAAAGGAGGGAAGTGGAGCGAAACATGAATTGCAAACAGATGGCAACAAATGTCGGCCGCCTGTCCAGGGGGGGGGACTTTCTCCTCAACAAGAGCTTCTTCCATTTGTCAGCCCCATGCGGGTGTCATTCTTCGACCCACGGCAGGTGCCTATTTTCATCTCGCGACGTATACGGCTTATGAATTGTTTGCGGGAACACCCGGGGGCCGGATCTTCCTGGGTTTTATCAGCCGCATCGTGGCCATCTCTCCATTGGACCTCCAAAGCCGTGTTGGTGACGACGCTGTAGTTGATATTATTGGGTTCCTCATGTACGCCTTTCCCGCGGGTCTCTTGCTTGTAGACTCCCTCGTGGTAGTTGGTGCAGTTTGGCTCCAGCTTCGCCTACGTCGATGCAGCCTTCTCGCAGTGTTTACCCGTCATTCTCGCAGTCCGCTCCTTCTTGAGGTTGCCACTGCTTGTCCTTCTCGCACGTATGCACTGGTCGCATGCGCTGGAGGCAGCCACTTCCCATCCTACTCGCACGCACAGGGTCGTCCTCGTGATGCTGCCGCTGCCCGTGCTTTTCGCACGCAGTGCCCAGTCTCTCTTAGAGCTGTCACTGCCCGTCCTTCTCGCGCGCACGGGGTCCATCTTCTTGAGGCTGCCACTGCCTTCGAAGCTGCCACTGTCCGCTTATCCCGCGCGCACTCATGAAGTTGCCACTGCCCGTTCTTTCCGCACGCACAGTTCTTTCTCTCCTGCTGTTGCCACTGCCCTTCCTTCTCGCACCCGCAGTCTGCTTTAACCTGAAGCTGCCACTGCCCGTCCTTCTCGCACGCACGCAGGTTGCAGGTCACGAGTTCCCACATCATGTCGCAGGTCACGGGGGGTTGGCGTTCAGTCTGCACCCGTCGCTCCTCACTGTGGGTTGCACCTTCGCCTCGGCCTTCGCCTTGTTCAGCTGGGCCTGGATCCGCGGCTTCTCCTCCCGCAGCGTATGGAGCTCGTCCTTCAGTTTGCGGATGGTGCCATCCGCGCAGAGATTAGCCCAGCGTCGTATTCCTCTCCTGTCGGTGGGCCACTCCGCTGTGGTGCGCCTCGCTCGCACCCTCCCGCAACAGAAAGCGCACCTGCCTGAGCTGGGGGCTACAGCTACGTGGCCCTCCAAATGGCCACGCTGCTGAGCCGAACCTAGAAGGAGGAGGAAGGGGAGGAGGATGCTGAGGACGAGTGGTCGTCGTCGGTCGGCGTCGTCGTCGTCGTCGCCAACGTCAAGGTCAACGTCGTTGTCGTCTTCGTGACCAACACCGTGGTCGAGGGGTCATCATTGTGGCCTCTCCGCTCCCCTGCAGTCACGGTATCGACCTCGAGGTGCTCGGCATCGGCCAGGACCCGTGCCAGATTGCCCTCAATGCCGGCGACATGGCCGACGTAGGGGCCTCAGTACATCCGATGGTCGCCACGGCGGCCGAATGATCCTCCCGGTTTGAGGGTCAGGGCTTTTGAGGGCCCGGCGGCGAGCGGGGGGGGGGAAGTCAGGAGGAGAAGGCCTTTTCGGAAGGCGGCGGGGCTTCTCAGAAGCTTTCTGGCCTTCTGAGAGGTTGTTCTGTGTCTTCGGGGCAGGCTTACAACATTTCTCAGAAGGCCGAGGACTTCAAAACTTCTGAGAAACTCTTCTCCTCACTTTCCCCCGGGCGCGCCGCTGACTTTTGTGGGCCTCCAACCCAGACATCCAACGTGGTTGCACAACATCAAGGCGGAGGTTGCTCGTCGCTTTCGGCCTCTGGGGGCTCCACACTTGGACCCGATTGATCACGCAAGGCGAGAAGCGGGCAGGTCAAAGTCTGGATGGAATGATGACGTACGACGTGCTACTTACAGTCAGCCCGCATAGTAAGGATGGGCAACCTTCCATAGGGTACCCTTGCATCATTGCCCCTTCGGCCCATCCTTAAGCACCTTTCGCTGGCCAGTCTCGTTCGAAAACGTTACAGGGTCCCTCAAGGCCCTTGCATCCTTACCGCGCATCATTCTGATACGGGTGGACTGTACTACAAACAAGGGTGTGACGACATAGATGTTGCAGATGTCTTGAACTAAGTGTCGACGACGCATTGGGATACAATCAGACCTCAGTACAGCCGGGCCGAGGTATTAGATCGAGGTCGGTTCGGGGAGGGTGCACTAGTGTGCTTCGTGCTTGTTGGATGCTCTTAGGCATCCTGGGGAGACTGCCCGTGGATATCCTGTGTGCTCTGGCCGGCAGGGGGTCTCATGTTCTTGAGGGAAGCTCTTCTGGCCTGGGTCCGACTGCATGCAACATGCCACAACTCAGGAACGAGCGGGCCGCGCGACCTGTCCGGAGAAGCTGGCGCTCCGGTGCCGCACAAGCAGCGCACCCCCGTCGGTGCAAGGGTGTGCAAGGGAGTGCTCTCGGTGCTCAGGCCTTTGCCTCTGGAGGCCCTCCTCTGCCGGGCCTCGGGGCTGTCAAAGAAAACCGACTCGGACGATAAGCAGATTTTGTCGGGGAAGGGTTCAGAATTTCAGGGGACCCCGGCTGGAGAACATGTCGCCGCGCCACTTGGGGCGCTCAAAACAGGGCTTCGCCTTTGAGGATCGAAGGAGTCGTCATCTCCTCCGCGGCGGAAGAAAAGCGGAAGGTCGGCGGAAGTAGAACGAGTCCGCTTCCGTTGGCGGAAGCAGGCAGAAGGCTGGCGGAAGGCGGCGGAAGTAAAAGATGCGCCCCCAAGGGATGGAAACGTTTTTGGGTCCAGAGTATCTGGAATCGGTCAGTTGTTCCGACGCGCGGCCTTGCGTCTTGGGGTGGGCGCCGCGGGCACCATTGCAAGCGCCGCCTCGGGCGCGGCGGGTTTGCCGTGGGCTTGCTGCAGTGCTGGCGTCGTCTGTTTAAGAGCGCGACGCAGGGCTTGCCGTGTGTTCGCCGTGGTGTCGGTGTCGTCCACTTGGGATTGTCGAGAACAAACGGCGCGGCGACACATCCAGACGTCGGATGTTCGGAAAGGCTTCCGGGCACGCATCGAGCAGTTTTTGTGGTGAGCTATTGTGTTTGTTTCTTGTTGCGTTTCCCTCCTCGGGTTTTTTGACTTGCCTCCCCAGAGACCTCCATGAACCCTCTGGAGACTCCCGAGACCCCCAGCCGCCGGCCTTCGATTGCGAGCGCCGCGAAAGCGCCGAAAGCGGCGGCGGCGACGGCAGCGACGGCAGCGGGGACCGCCGTGACAGCGGCGCGGGCGACCACCCGCCGCGAGGTCAAGAACACCAGCGAGGAGAAAACCACGACCACCGAGGAGAAAACCACGACCACCGAGGCCGACGAGTGTTCAAGCGGAGGCCGCGCCGCTCTAAGCGCCGTCGCCTTACTTTGTCTTGATATGATTGCTCATGTTGTTCCCTCCTTCCTCTTTGTGTTCCTTTCCTTTTTGAGCTGATCTTATTTATCATCTCCCCATCTTGTTGCTGGTGCCGGTGGTGCCGCCAATCACTGCTTGCTGCTGCAGTTACTGTTGGCCTCCGTCCTTGTCATCTTCATCGTCATTGGTTTCGTTCGCATATTTTTCCTCTGCGTACGCATCCCTTCCCATCCAATTCATGCGTCTCTCTTGGCAACTTCTTGTATCCGTTCTACTCGTTACTATCACAGGCCTTGCTAAACTGTTGGGGATGGTCGTGCCCTGTTTACCGAGCCATCGTTTCGCTATATCATGAGCGTCCTTATCTGCGTAAACATGTGACTCCTCGCGACCTCCATGTCTCTCTGTGCTAGTGTTCCCAACCATACTATGGTGTTGGATGCTCGTTTTGGAGAGACAGCGCCCCACGTTCTCCTCTCGCCTCCTTCCTCTCGCCTTCTCTCTATCTCTCCTCCTCCTCCTCCTCCTCCTCCTCTTTCTCCTCCTCCTCCTCCTCCTCCTCCTCCTCCTCCTCACACTCCCATCCCCGTGTCCCATTTCGGCACAACGCTTACACGTTTTGTGGCCCCATAGGGAGCGCCACCGAAGGCACTAGGGGCAGGGTCCGCATGGCTGCCCCGCACCCATCTCCAGCGGAGGGATCCGCATGGCAGCACCGCATCCATGTCGGCAAACCCCTCATACGCTTCGCGGCACCATAAGGAGTTCCACGGAAGGCCCCAGCGGCAGGGTCCGCATGGCGGCCCCGCACCCATTTCGGTACACCCCGCACACGCGTCATGGCCTCATCGGGAGTTCCTCCGAAGGCCCCAGCGGCATGTTTCGTGGCCCCTCACGTGTTCCGTGGCCCCATACGGAGCTCCACCGAAATCCCCAGCGGCAGGGTCCGCATGGCGGCCCCGCACCTGTTTCGGCACACTCCTCACATGTTTCGCGGTCCCATAAAGAGCTCCACCGAAGGTCCCAACGGCAGGGTCCGCATGGCGGCCCCGCGCCGAGGCCTGCACAATCCTCACACGCTTCGTGGCGCCATAGGGAGCTCCACCAGAAACCCGAGCGGCAGGGTCCGCATGGCGGCCCCACACCCGATTTCGGCATCACACGTTTCGCGGCCCATAGGGCGATCCACCGAAGGCCCCAGCGGCAGGGTCCACATGGCGGCCCCGCACCGATTTCGGTACACCCTTCACACGCGTCAAGGCCCCATAGGGAGCCCGCCAAAGCCAGCAGCGGCAGGGTCCGCATGGCGGCCCAGCCCCATTTCGGCAGACCCCTCAGATGTTTCGCGGCCCCGCAAGGAATTCGACGGAAGGCCTCAGCGACAGGGTCCACAGGGCGGCCGCGCACCCATTTCGGCACAACCCTCACGCGCTTCGTGGCTCATCACACGTTCCGTTTCCCAGTGGGGACTTGCCTTTCCTGCGTCCCATTTGCCGTGCGACATTCGCACCCGCGAATGTTTGGGACCTTCGCCAGGATAATGTGTGTTACGGTATTTTCTTTAATACATAACTATATGTATATATACACACTATGAACGTACATCCCTCTTTCTGCTCTCTCCTCTCTCCTGTTCCGTTCCCCAATGTAGTTGTTGCTCCCCCCCGTCCTTGTTCACTTCTCTTCTGTGCAATATGTCTCTGTTTCTCTTTCTCTCTGTCTCTCCCCGCCTTTCTCTCTCTCTCTCTGTCTGTCTCTCTGTGTCTTCCCCCACCCCCATTCCGGCCATGTTGTCCCCCTTCCTCCTCCTCTCCCTTCCACGTGGTACCCCTCTGTACCTGCATCGTGCTCTATCTCTCGCTTTCTCTCTTTCTCTCTTTCACTCCCCATCTCGCTTTCTCACTAGACGTACGAGGAGGAGGAGGAGGAGGAGGAGGAGGAGGAGGAGGGAAGGAGGAGGAGGAGGAGGAGGAGGAGGAGGAGGGTTTCGATAATAGAAAGAGAGCAAGATACTGTCTGGAGCGATCAGGGCATTCCTAATCCAACCCTTCACCTCCAGACTCCCTCGTCCCCCCCCTGTGCCACGTTCTTCCTGTTACTCCACTCGTTTTGTTTCTGGCAGGTCGCGCTGTCCGCTGCGCTTTCTGTTTGAGGTTTCGGAGCGTTGCGTCAGAGCAGCGTGGCCCCGTACGATGTCCGGTTGTGCTGCCAAGAGGGGGGAGGAGAACAGTTCGAGTATTCGAAGGGCTTCGTCGGATAACACGCAGGCCTACAAAAGGACGCGACGAGGTGACGACTGCACCAGCACCAAGTGCTGCAGCAGGCCAGGCGCGCAGTGTTACGAGAAGACCCCGGACTATGCCAAGTGCCGGGTGGAGTGCGTCCCCGGCAAGGACAGGGGCCCGAACATCGGGATTTCCTCTGAACTTGCTTATCTTCCCGATGTGTTTTTTGAGGGCTCGTGGCACGGGAAGGGCTCAGACTAATCAGGTTCTGCGTTTTGTTGGGGCTACTTGTCAGTGCCTCGAGGGTTCCGATGCCTCGAGTTCTGGTGCCGACTGCATCGAGTTCGGAGGGCGTGGGGATCCACATTCCCTCAACAGTGCTTGCACCCCTCGTGTCACTCGGGAACTGGATGGGTCGCAGAGGTTTCGCCGCGTCGCCGCCCGCGGCCGCTTCATGGCCGCCGCGTTGCCGCCCACCTGGGGGGTCCGCCGAGGTTTCGCCGCGCCGCCCTCCGCCGCCGCCTCGTGCTCGCCTCGTGGCCGCCCACCTGGGGGGGTTCGACGAGGCTTCGCTTCGTCGCAGCACGTGGTCGCCTCGCCTCGTTGCCGCCCACTGGGGCTCCGCCGAGGTGTCGCCGCGTGGCCGCCTCGTGCGGGACCGCCGATGTTTCGCCACGTCGCCGCCTTATGGTCGCCCCGTTTCCGCCCACCTGGGGGGTCCGCCGCGGGTTTGCCGCGGCGCCGCCCGTGGCCGCCTCGTGACCGCTGCGGTGCCGCCCACTTGGGGGGTCCGACGGGGTTTTGCGTCGTCGCTGCCCGTGGCCGCCTCGTTGCCGCCCTGTGGGGTCCGCAGATGTTTCGCCACGTCGCCGCCCTTTGCCGCCTCGCTGCCGCTCGGGGGATCCGCCCCATTTGTTCCATTCCATACCACGCACATGCTACATAGCTGGCCCGACCGAGCTCAAGCCACACAGCTCATGCGACATAGCTTACGCAACAGAGCCTGCACCACGTAGCTTGCACCGCACAGTTCACGCCACAGAGACAGCAGATACAATACACGGCATAGCGCACACTTAGTTGACACCACATAGCTCACAGTTTATTCAAACCCACTGTAGAATTTATAGAGGAAGCGCGCTCTCGCCTGGCACTTTTTGGGGATTTGTTACCGCCGCGCCCTCGACACTCAGGAATCACGCTCTCGCGATGGACTTCCTCGCGATTTGCTCGGGAATCGCGCTGTCGCTCCACGCGGTTCATGCAGGACTGGCGCTTCAGCGACCCACCCGCTCGACATGGCCGTCTGGGCCCGCCCGCCCCCTCTGGCGGCTCCCCTGGCGCCGCGGGTCCAGCGCCGATCCAAGAACTCTGCGCGAGCCTGCGACAGCTCATGCTTTCCGCCAAGAGGCCGAAACGAGGACCAGTGAGGGCCCAGGGGGGGCTGTGGCTGCCAGGCGGCTCCTCGGATCTGGGCCGGAAAACATGCAACATCGTTAAGGCAACTTCATCTGGGCCCCAGGTATCATATTTCTGCAGCATTGTTCGAGCTGGGTCGATATCTGCTGGTCCCATGGGCCCGAAGCCCGGCAACAACGCCCACTGCGAAAATACTGCGTCGCCCGGAACTCAGGGATGGTAGCACGAGGAGTGTGTGTGCCGATCGCCTTCCGTCTGCCAAGGACCTCACGGACGTGGACAGCACGCCCTGGTCCTGCAAGGAGCTCGGCGATCGTACCCCGGGCGAGGAGAAGTGCTCCGACGTCGGCGACAATTGCATGGAGACCAGGCCGTTCTCCATCCTTCTCCTACCCCTCTTCCCTCTTCCTCCAAAGAACGTCCCAGACCCCCCCCCACCAACCATCTCTTCAGAACCTCAAACATGTCATCTTCTTCCTCCTCATCCATCCCGGTCTTCGTCCTCGGTCCTCCCCTCTGCTGTGCCCCTCCTCTCTCCCTTCTCCTTGCCATCATTGTTCCTCCCTCCTCCGTCCTCGTCCCTCCTCCCTCCTCTCCTCACCCGACATCCCCCATCGTGTCGTTCCTTTTCTTCCTTGTCTCATCCTTTCTTAGTTTCCGCTCTGTCGTCCTTATCCTCGTTCATCCTCATCTCCCACTTCCTCATCAACTGCACTCCTCCTAGTTTCCGTTCCTCCTCCACCTCCTCATCCTGCTGCTCCTCATCAACATCCTGCTCTCCGTCTTTTCCCGTTCATCCGGGGGGGGTGACGGAGAAATTACATGGAGGACAAGCATGCCAGGAGGAGGAGGAGGAAGAAAGGAGCAGGACGGAGATGAGGATGATAATCAGAAGGCATAGGAGGAGTAGGAGTAGGAGTCAAGCTAGCCAGCTCGAGCGAGTCAAGCATGGCATGCCCAGTCCCACCCGCCCTCCCACAACATAAGAAGCAAAGCTGGCACAACTGGGGGCCGAAGTCACACCGGCCAGCCGGTTTGGTACAGCTGATGCGGCCGCGATGGCGGTTGCCGACGGGAACTGGCGAGCGCGTGTTGAATGCCGCGCACGCATTGCCAGACGAGTCGAGAATGGCCCGGTACACCGCAGGAAGCCAGAGGTGGCCGGAGGAAGCCCGACGGTCTGACAGGACACCCCAAAGCATTTTTGTGAAAAAGCATTGGGTTTTTGATGTTTTTATGTTGAAATGCTTGCAAACACACGGTGTTCGGTAGGATTCTGACATGAACGCGCGAGTGTGCTCTTTGTGGTATTTTTTGCACAGGATTCGCGGCCTGGGTGCATGACAGAGCATCGCGAGTGCACCGCGCGATGACGTGAAATCGCTGGATTTGACAGAATTCTTAAGATTCCCATGGTTTTCCTATGATTTCAGCAAGAGAGCCCGGGCGGGAAATTTGTACAATTTTTGTGAAAAAAACATTGGGTTTTTGATGTTTTTATGTTGAAATGCTTGCAAACACACGGTGTTCGGTAGGATTCTGACATGAACGCGCGCGTGTGTTCTTTGTGGTGTTTTTTGCAATGGATTATCGCCGTGGACGACAGGACGTCCATGTCGAGAGGAAAAAATAAGAAACATGTTGATTTTGTATTGTTTTTTACAGGTTAGGATGGGACCACCCGGATGCGCCCGCTATCTGCCGGCCTGAGGGGGGAGTAGGAGTATATTCTAATAAGGAATAACGATAGGAGTAGGAAAAGGAGTAGGAGCAGGAGTAGAAGTAGGAGTCAAGCTAGCCAGCTCGAGCGAGTCAAGCATGGCATGCCCAGTCCCACCCGCCCTCCCACAACATAAGAAGCAAAGCTGGCACAACTGGGGGCCGAAGTCACACCGGCCAGCCGGTTTGGTACAGCTGATGCGGCCGCGATGGCGGTTGCCGACGGGAACTGGCGAGCGCGTGTTGAATGCCGAAAAACAGAAACTGTGTATTGTCTTTTGCAGATTAGAATGGGACGGATTGGATGGGCGGGCGCGGGGTGTGCGCCGCGTCCCATTCCTGCCATGCATTTTGCGACGTGGACGACAGGACGTCCATGCGACGGTGCCAATGACGGCGACGACTCTAGAAGGATTTGAGCATGCGCTCGCGGCGACGCGCGCGCATGTCGCCCGCGTGGTATTTTTTGCACAGGATTCGCGGCCTGGGTGCATGACAGAGCATCGCGAGTGCACCGCGCGATGACGCGAAATCGCTGGATTTGACAGAATTCTTAAGATTCCCATGGTTCTCCTATGATTTCAGCAAGAGAACCCGGGCAGGACATTTGTACAATTTGTGTGAAAAAGCAGTGGGTTTTTGATGTTTTTATGTTGAAATGCTTGCAGACACACGGTGTTC